CTCCTGAGTCCAAATTTCCTCTATTTGAGCAGCTATATTACTAGCTCTAACAGCAGAATCAGCATTCCAGCTGCCCTCATAACAGAGTTTAAAATCAACCATTAGCTTAGCTAGAAGTTTTTGATTGTTCGGAAAGGCTTTTTTGTTCCAATCACTTAGAACCTTGCTTACTCAATCAAGATTTGATTTAAACAAGTACATAACATCCAACATAGAGTTAGAGAAATGCTCCCAATTTTTATTAATTAGCAACTCATAGCCACAGTGATCCAGGCAATTTAATTCAAATCAAAAAACATTGTCACTACCAAGACTAGAGTAATGGGAAGAAATCAAAAGGGGAGAGTGATCAGAACCTAAAGGCTCCAGATTGCGTACCTAAACATTCAGACAAGCATCATGCCAAGGACCATTACAAACTGCTTTGTCAATTCTTTCTCGAACGTTGTTCTCCTCTAACCAGTTATTGGACCAAGTAAATTGCATGCCTTTATATCCCAGATCTATCAAATTACAAGTGGTCATGAAAGACTGAAAATCTTCTAAAGAATATAGGGAGCAAGTTCTACCTCCCTCTTTTTCAAAATCATAGAGAAGCTCATTAAAATCCCCAAAACAGAGCCAAGGGGTATCCTGTCCAGGGTTTAACCCCTTCAGTCTCCTCTACCAAGAACTACGTAGCCTTTCCTTAAGTGGTCCATATACCAAACTCATAAATCCTGTAACTGGATCTAGACAAGAATTAATTTTAATATGAATTAAATTCTTATCCGCCATCAAGCCCTCTAACTGTACCAAATCTTTCCACTAAACTGCTGGCCCACCCCAATGCCAATAGGTTCCACATAAAGCTTATTCTGAAATTGCAGTCACCTTCTAAACCCTCTAGTTTCCATTAGAAAAACTAGAGGAGGTTTATATTTATCACACAGAAATCTTAAAGTTTTGCCTGTCAAGGGGGACCCCAACCCATGACAGTTCCAACTTAGTGGATTCATGATGACTAGGTGGCCATTTATGGCTGGCCACCAAGCCCCTAAGCAGCAAAGACATAGGAGAAGTTCTCAGAATTTTCAGACAGCACCTTTCTAAGGACCGAATTAGCTTCCAGAATTGGAATTTCAAACAAACCTGACTCACCTGTCTTTCCAGAAGACTTCAAAGCTCTTTTTTTCTTCTTCCTAGCATTCTCCGAATGCTTTCCCTCTAAGAAAGCTAGTTGATTTTGTTTATCCCGATTAATCGGTGCCTCTTCCACTGTATCTACCTTCTGGCATTTCGCAACCTGTTCTTCTTCAATTTCTTCTAATCCTCTTTTCAGATTAACTCTCTCAAATTTCCGAGCTAGCACCCCTTTGAAAGTCAGTTGTGGCAGGACACGCTTTGATTCTGGAGAGTTATGACTCTTACTCTTGTCACTATCATAAGGTAGTTCAACTATATAAGGAGTCCTATGTTCATGAACAGTTTTTGAGGGAGCTGACTGGAATAGGGCTTTTTTGCAATTACCTTTATTTGGACCCCTTCTTCTAAGAAAGATACGACTCTCTTCCATGTTCAAATTTTGTACAGGTTGGTCCATATCCTTCCTATTCATGGTTGGACTAGTCTGAATATTCATATCCGTCTTCAGACCACCATGGTCTTTAATTGGGCTGGAGACCTCCTTATCATCCATGATGCAATCTAATCCATTTACTGTATGTATAATGCCATTAGCAGAGGGACCCTTAGAGTTGTTCACACTGCCCTTGCCTTCCTTTGCACCATTCTGACATGTTTCCTTACCTTTCACACCCTCTATAACTGTCACTCTAATTTCCTGGCCCACACAAGAGAAGGACTCATCCACGCTCTTATGAGATGAGGATGATTCATGTGCCGGCACCATCTGCACTAAAACAGAGTCATCTTCGCGAATCATCACTATCGTCAACATGGCCTTTACTGGACTAGCTCTCATATCTGCTGTGAACATTGGTTTTGAAGGGTCTTCCTCCGACTTAGTTTTCTACCTTTCGCAACTACGGTGATCATGACCCACCCTTCCATAATTATAGCAAAAACTCTACAATTTCTCATACCTAAACTGAATCTAAGTCTTATCTAAATTAGGTCAAGGAACCCATAATCCTGCAATCAATGGCTTAGTGAGATCGATCTCCACTCGAACATGAACAAAATTGATGAAAGAACAATTCATCCATTTTTGGGTCTTCAAAACACAGGACCTCTCCTATCACATTGCCAATCTTCAAAATATTCTTCTTAGTCATCACCCGCGGTGGTAGATTATGTATCTGAACCCAGTAAATACACTTACTTGAGAGAACCTCCTTCACTGTTAAGAGCGGCGACCATGGACGCAAGTTAAGCAAATATCCATCCACCGCCCACGGCCCATCCCGAAGAACTCTTTCATATTCTTGCTTCAGACCAAAATAGAACGGATAGACATTATCATCCAGAAATTGTATTTCCAGCTTACCTTTCACATTCCAGCTATGATCAATAGCTTTGCGAAATGTAGTTCGATTGATTGGGCGAGGCAAAACCAATTTCCCAACTAAAACAAAGCCCCCCGTCTTCAATTCCTCATCTTCCCAGTCGAGGGCACAATCATTGGGATCATCCATTACAACTTCCATAATTCTCAAGATGAACAGCACAGAATCACAAAATCAACAAACGGAAAGAGAAAAGGGGTTTAGGCTTGAAGAGGACAAGCTATTGAGCTCGCAAAAAGGAGAATGGTCGCTCTCACAGGGAAGAGAAAAATCTGAGAGCGTCCCGGATTTTGAATTGATTTAGTTTTCGATATTATATTTGGAACTAAGAACAATAGAGATCAAATATTTCAATTCAATCCTTTAGTCCACCGGCGATTTTAATTTGACCACCAATATGGATACTTACAATAGTATGGTCTCTAACTTTCCGATAAATTGGTGTCTAGCTTGTGCGATCATCTCATGTGTATTAATCCTTACGTAATTTTTCTTCAATATAATATACTACCTCCGATTTTTAATATAAAACCTCATTTTATTTTTATTTTAGTTTTAAATATAAGACTCCAATTCATTTTGTTTCTAATATTTATGCATTTTTTCCTAAGATAATCCTTCTAATAATGGTAGTTCTAGCCAACATATTTAATTAGTAATGATATTTTAAGAAAGACAATACCTATTTATTACAAATAACTAACTTAACTTATTTCTTTAATCTTCTCAAATTAGTCAACTAGTTTTTATAATTAAGACCAGAGGTAGTAATTTTTTATATTATGAAAAATTGTATTGTCATTGAGGAAGGAAAAAATGAAGGGGGTGTTTGGATAGAAATCAAACCATGGTTTCAGAAGTACTTTTACGGTTTACGAAGTAAATATGTGGAGGAATTTGTCTCGTTTTGAAAGTTGCCAAACACCCCCGAAATCATGAATAGCAATATTAATTATTCTTCCTATATCTAGCATAAGACATAATTAACTAATTTAAATAGATTAAGTATTTTAGTTGAATTAGTTAATATGGTGTGTTTTTTCTAAAACACCCTAAGTATCTTCATTAATTTCCAGAATATCAATAAAGTTAAGTTGGAAAAAAATTGATAATCATATGAAATAAGTCTTACATATAGCACCATTACTAACCTTTTAATTAGGTCTTATATTAAGTACCTGAGAAGTATATCGTTAATTGGCAATTATTATGTTATTGACAAAAAAAACTATGTTATTGTCTAATCTCAATTGTCTTTTTTTTTTCCCGACTGAAAAGGGAAATTTATTAACTTAGAAAAATTATTAAGAGGTAAAAACAAAACAAAGCCGAAGGCAAAGAGTCTATCTCGGACGCAGAGTCAAGTTTTTAGCATTCAGAGTATGATCACTTAAAGATAAAATTTCATTAATCAATCGATGAGCTCGAGTGGAATCACTGCAGAAAACATGACGATACTTCCAACAAAGGGTTCCAAACCTGATACACCAAGCTGGGTTGGAATCTTTCGTCCTTAGATTTCCTTACAAGCGGTCAAAGAAAGGCTGGTTTAAGAAACGCGTCTGGAGCGAAGTTGGGTCAATGAGCTTCCAACAAGATGAAGCTAAGTTACAGGAGCGCAGGACATGGTCTATGTCTTCAATTGCCTTGCCACAAATACCACAGACGTCGCTTGCTGCCATATGCCTTCCGAACTCTCTCTTGATTTCCAAGTTCCATTTGGAGAAAAATAATAATCAATGGTTCATTGCATTTCTTCTTCATCCAGAGGTTTGAATGTCAAATTGCACAGAGGCCTCAACTCTCCAATCCAATAATCTGCCCAGAAACGACCTGTTTTACCATTTTCTACTTTCCAACATAACCCTAGATCCATATCATTCCAAATATTTCCCAAGCATTTCCAAAGGCAGGAGGCGTTAGTATTCCTCATGTTACTAGTCTCCTTACCATTCCATCTGTATTCGGCTTTGACCACCCTATGGGGCTTAGTGCTAGCAACATAGGCCAGTTTCATCAGAAAAGGCGGAATTTTGAATCACAAGCGAGTTAAGCCCGCTTCCCCCACACTGCTTTGGCTGACAATATAATTTATGAGGTGGGTGCTTTTACGTTGTTGCGTAGAACCCCATACAAAGTTCCTTACGTGGGATAGCATAGAAGGGGATGGTCTTTATTTTAAATTTCATAGATACCTTTTCCTTTAACTCATTTTTCTTGTAAGTAGCTCAGTTGGTCTAGCTGAACAACGAAACGGAAAAAATTGAGGGCAGATGGCGCTTGATTGGATCTTTCTAAACGAAGACCCAGGCCCGGACAATATTTTGTTTATGTAAGTCGCCCATGATTAGGTCCCCTCACATCCTTGGTAGCTTAAGGCCCATATTGTAGCGAAATAAATTGAAGCCCATACTTCTGGGCCTGGATTGAGGCCCATAAATTTAAAGCAGACCGAAACAAATAAACAGGGGTCGTCAAGGGTCATCATAAATCTGGCTAGGGTTTCTGGCTGCCACTCTCGCCGTCTTTGCATTTCGCCCCTCTGCTCCTTAGCTTAGTCCAAGAGCTTCAACCATGGCGGAACAAGTACATTCAGATTCATAATTCCTTTTGATTGTGTCAATAATCCCGAGTTTTCGATCTCTTATTCATTGATTTATTTTTTTGGTTTGTTTTCCTTTCGGCAGACTGAGAAGGCTTTTCTGAAGCAGCCAAAAGTGTTTCTAAGGTACACCAATTTGACGTGAATTAATTTATTTCCTTTTTATCCTTTTAAGTTAGCTGTTGTTGTTTTGTTTAATTTGTTTGTGGCTGCTTCTGCTTTTCAAGCTCGAAGAAATCTGGGAAGGGAAAGAGGCCTGGCAAAGGAGGGAATCGCTTTTGGAAGTCTGTTGGACTTGGATTCAAGACTCCCAGGGACGCTATTGAAGGTTTCCTCTCCAAATCCTTTCTTTGTGTTTGTGAAAATCTACATTGCCTTGATGCCTCCTTTACTGTTTATATGGTCGTTGTTGGGAGCTCGGATTTCCTTTGATATATCTGGTAAATTTTATTGATGGGAGTTGTTCGTAAATTCGGCCCCTGTTTCAATTTCCGATTTGGTAGCATAGTAAGTATATTTTTGTGGGTTGAAGGTTGCATGGTAAATTTTACTCTCAGTTGCTGGCTATCTATCGTCATTCTCTCTCTGCAGTGCCACTGTAACCTTAGTCCGCGTATTGCAATCTAGTTTGCATACCTGACAATGCTGAAATTAGCGCTAGTACGAGATATTGCATCGAATGTGCTGCTTTGCTTGTTATCAGGTTAAGCAGTTTTTGGCAATGAGACATGATTGGAGTGTTGTGACTCTCAATCTATACTCCGTGAAATATAATGTCAATAGAAGGATACGGCTTTGATAAAATTAATGGCTTAACTTGAAGCAAAGTGTGTTGATATGTGTTCACTGTTTTTGTACAGGACTAGTGCGTGAAGGAGCGTTTCCTTGTTTGTGATTGTTCACGTTATTCTGATATTCAATATGAGTGATTGGTTATTTCGCCATCCAATGATTTATGTGCGCTTCTGCTTATGGAAAGCCTTCGCGTTTTTGTCTTTCATACAGGCACTTACATTGATAAGAAGTGCCCCTTCACTGGCACTGTTTCAATCAGGGGTCGTATTCTAGCTGGCACCTGTCATAGTGCTAAGATGACAAGAACGATTATTGTGAGAAGGAACTACCTTCATTTTGTCAAGAAGTACCAGAGGTATTCCCTCCCATCTGGCTGTTATGCTCATTTTTCATTTTATTTGGCCTTTGCACTCTTGGACCAGCATAATTGTGATTTCCATGTGTTGTTCTCACTTCTGTCGTGTAAATGTTTAGATATGAGAAGAGGCACTCAAACATTGCAGCTCACATATCACCTTGCTTTCGTGTAAAGGAAGGTGATCATGTGACCATCGGCCAGTGCAGGTTTGAATTTATGGAACAAACCCTTTTGGATTGCACTAAGTTCAGGATATTGTTGTTGTAACTTGCACGGTTTAATGTAGTCATCACTGATTTCCTTCATTCTGATTATATTTTTAGGCCACTCTCAAAGACTGTGAGGTTCAACGTGTTAAAAGTGATTCCGGCTGGATCTTCTGGTGGTGTGAAGAAGGCATTTACTGGAATATGATATATGATTATTAGTTATGTTTGTAGGGGTACGAAATTTGGAGTTTGGAGCAGATTCTATTTTTAGTTGTTTTTGAAAGTGACCGTATTCTAATTTAATCAATTTTGGAGTTCTTTTCTGGTTTGGATATATGAATTTCTAAATCCTGAAGATTATGAGCGTTTCATATACAAGATGGTTATTTAAGTTTAACTGTTGTGGTTATTTAATTTTAACTATTGTGGGTCTCATAGAGGGGTATTCATCACGTACCCTTCCTGTCCACCCCATCCCCTTCATTTCGGGGTGGGATGGGGATCACTTCCCTTCCTGGTATATTCAGTCAACTATTTTTTCATCTCTCCTATTTTGCTTTTAAATTAGATTCAGTATTTCGCTTAAGGTTTCTCGTACTGACATTTCTTCTGCCATTCTGGGCTAGTATTACTGATACAGAGGGTATAGTGATATTTTTGAGTAATTCGATTTGGTATTCTGCTTTTGCTTGTTGGAGTATTTGTAGTTTGCTGGAGCACCATTCCAAAAACTTAGTACAATTTGGAACCAAGGAAAGTATTCCATTTTCTAATGAACGCATAAAGCCAGAAGAAGCCATATCTCACCAACATTTGATTCAAATTTAAAATTTAGATTTTGGATTTGTTCAGATTGTATTTCATAATCTCAAAAGCCAATTTGTGAATTCACATACCAATACAAGTCTAGAAATCATATTTGAAATGACATTAGAAACGAATAATTTTTTTTTCTTTTTAACAAAAGCCAATTAGGATAAACATTTAGAAGTCTTGGGGCAACTAAAAACTGTATGGCTATTCAAATTGGCTTTTTAACTAAAGGTATAGGTCATTTTAAATTGATAAAATGTAAATGGAATAAAATGTTGGTCTAGTTGGGAAAAAAACGTGAGTTCAAATTTTGACTTTTGACTCTAAGCACTTGATGAGTTCTTAAAATTCAACTTATCTAAATTTTTTATTAAAAAAAATGATTTTCACAAATGTTAATCTAAATATGAATTGTGCGTGGCCTTTTTTGTGGTAATGAGTATAAAAAAAAACGAAATAATGAAGAAGTGAAATCTATTAAAAGGATTAGAATTAGAATATATAGCCATGAATGATTCTTTGGTTTTTTTTCCGAGATAAGTTAATTGGTATTAACGATGCAAACATATTGGGAGGTAAGTAATGAAATATGATTGGATAGAGCGAAAAAGTAAAAGAAAATTGTAAATAAAGATCCCTAAAATGTAAAATTGTGATTTGGGACTCTGAATTTGAAAAATAGTAAATAAGGACCTAGTTTCATTTTTGCAAATATGAAATATGGATGAAATGTCTAAAATGCCCCTTAGCCAAATTGTGATTTGGTCCACTGAAATTGTCATTCACTGAAGTGAACTTATCATTCCCACAATCAACTTCTTATTTGGCATACCTTCAGTTAAATTATGATTTGATCTACTGAAATCATTTGTTAAAATGAATTTGTCATTTCTCGTAGTCAACTCATCATTTGGTATATCCTCAGTCAAGTTGTGATTTGGTTTACTGAAGTCGTCATTCGTCAAAATGAACTTGTTATTTCTCATAGTCAACGTGTCATTTGGCTGAGGGGATATTTCAGACATTTAACCATTCATATTTGCAAAAATAAGATCGGGTCCTTATTTGCTATTTTTCAAATTGAGAGTTCCAAATTATAATTTCATATATTCAGAGGTCTTTATTTGTAATTTTGTCAAAAAGTGATTAGATTGTGTGGCTTACCCTATTTGACTTTCTAGAAAATTGATAATGGAGACAACAAAAATTTAGATTTGGTAGCGCTTGATTGGATCTTATTTAAACAAAGGCCCAGCTCATAGTACTTTTTGTAACTAGCCCATATTATTAACGAAATAAATTGAAGTCCATAAAGTTGGGCCTAGTTGAGGCCCATAAGTTGAAAGCAGACCAAAACAAATAAACTGGGTTCGTCAAGCTTCGTCGTAAATCTGGCTAGGGTTTCTGGCTGCGGCTTTCGCGCTCTTTGAATTTCGCCACGATTTCGCCACTCTGCTCCGTAGCTTCGTTCAAGAGCTTGAACCATGGCGGAACAAGTACATTCAGATCGATGATTCCTTTTGATTGTGTCAATAATTCCTACTTTTCGATCTCTCATTCATTCATTTTGTGGTTTGTTTTCCTTTCGGCAGACTGAGAAGGCTTTTTTGAAGCAGCCAAAAGTGTTTCTAAGGTACACAAATTTGACATGAATAAGTTTATTTCTTCTTTTGTTTTCTTTTAAGTTCTTGTTGTTGTTTTGCTTAATTTGTTTGTGGCTGCTTCTGCTTTTCAAGCTCAAAGAAATCTGGGAAGGGAAAGAGGCCTGGAAAAGGAGGGAATCGCTTTTGGAAGTCTGTTGGACTTGGATTCAAGACTCCCAGGGACGCTATTGAAGGTTTCCTCTCTAAATACTTTCTTTATGTTTGTAAAAATCTACATTGCCTTGATGCCTCCTTTACTGTTTATATGGTCGTTGTTGGGAGCTCGGATTTCGTTTGATATATCTGGTAAATTTTATTGATGGGAGTTGTTCGTAAATTCGGCCCCTGTTTCAATTTCCGATTTGGTAGCATGGTAAGTATATTTTTGTGGGCTGAAGGTTGCATGGTAAGTTTTACTCTTAGTTGCTGGCTATCTGTCGTCATTCTCTCTCTGCAATGCCATTGTAATCTTAGTCTACGTATTGCAATCTAGTTTGCATACCGGACACTGCTGAAATTAGCGCTAGTACAAGATATTGCATCGAATGTCCTGTTTTGCTTTTTATCAGGTTATTATGTTTTCACTGTTTTTGTACAGGACTAGTGTATAAACGAGCATTTGCTGGTTTGTGATTATTCACGTTATTGTGATATTCAATATGAATGATTGTTTATTTCTCGATCCATTGGTTTATATGCGCTTCTGCTTATGGAAAGCCTTCGCGTTTTTGTCTTTCATACAGGCTCTTACATTGATAAGAAATGCCCCTTCACTGGCACTGTTTCTATCAGGGGTCGTATTCTAGCTGGCACCTGTCATAGTGCTAAGATGACAAGAACCATTATTGTTAGAAGGAACTACCTTCATTTTGTCAAGAAGTACCAGAGGTATTCCCTCTCATCTGGCTGTTATGCTCATTTTTCATTTTATTTGGCCTTTGCAGCATTGTTTCGGCTTAACTTGTAATTTTCATATGTTTTTCTCACTTCTGTCTTGTAAATATTTAGGTATGAGAAGCGGCACTCAAACATTGCAGCTCACATATCACCTTGCTTTCGTGTAAAGGAAGGTGATCATGTGACCATCGGCCAGTGCAGGTTAGAATTTATATAACAAACCTTTTTTGATTGCACAAAGTTCAGGATATTACTGTTGTAAATTACTTGCACGCCTTAATGTGGTCATCACTGATTCCCTTCAATGTCGTTATATTTTTAGGCCACTCTCAAAGACTGTGAGGTTCAACGTATTAAAAGTGATCCCGGCTGGATCTTCTGGTGGTGTGAAGAAGGCATTTACTGGAATATGATATATGATTATTATTTATGTTTGTAGGGGTACGAAATTTGGGGTTTGGAGCAGCCTCTATTTTGAGCCTTTTGTTTTTGAAATTGACCATATACTAATTTAATCAATTTTGGAGTTCTTTCTGGTTTTGGTTTGTGAATGTTTAAGTGCTGAAGATTATGAGCTTTTTATATAGAAGATCGTTATTTAATTTTAACTATTGTGGATCTCATATGGGATGTTCATCACATGCCCTTCCTGGCTGTCCTGTCCCTATCCTAGTAGGACGGGGGGAATCACCTATCCCATCTTTGTTGGCAATTTTTTCTTCCTACTATTCCCGTCTTTCCTATATGGCTTTTAGATTACATTCAATATTTTCCTTGGGTTTCTCTCTGAATCTTCTTCTGCCATTCTCGACTAGTATTATTGATAGAGAGAGGATATCGATATATTTGAGTAATTCCATTTGGTATTGTTTTATTTTAAGTTGGAATATTTGGATATTGCAGGAGTCCCATTCCAAATAACAGTACATGTCGGAAACAAGAAAAGTATTTCCTTTTGAAAAAAAATTTAGCCTTAAAGTGGGCTGGCACATTGATCGCTCTCATTAATAAGATTCAAAGGTGGCCATACGGCTTGCTGATTCTGTTAATTTACAGCGGAAGGAAAATGCATGCTATTTAATTAAATGTGGGCTGTGTTTTCTACTTAAAAAACATAAATATGGGCTGCGTTTATTGAGGGGATTCTTGGTCCTGTTTGGCAAAATACCCAAACCATGGTTTGGGTCAGAAATTTGCCAAATAGGGGGACAAATAGGCAAATCACGGTTTTGGGTTTAAAACTATAGTTTCAATAGAAGTAAATCTATTATGTTTCAGACTCAAATTAGAAAGTATGATTGTACTTGTCATTGTATATCCTAACAGTAATACGAGTTTAATGCCTGTCAATTATTTTTCTATAAACATATTTAATTTTATATTTATAAATATTAATTATTTATTAATTATATTATCTTATATATTATTAATTATGTTAGTAAAAAAGATATTATTAACAATTTTATTCCTTCAAATTAAAATATATTATAAAATCTATCTTTTATGTAATTATCATATTAACTTATATATTTTTTTAGTAATTTGTATATATAAAAAGTGTTTTTAATAACAACTATCCAAACCTTTCACTTTATCAGAATCATATTTTTACAAAATCTATTCTTCATAAAATCTATTCTCTAGAAGTTACTCTCCAAACTATGATTTGGTTTTATCCAAATACACCCAAAATCTAAGATAGAAGGAGGAGTTTGCCTTTAATGCAAGTTATTTTATTTTCATTTGAGTTTTGATTCTTCAAAATTTTAAACTCTAGTCTGTTAAGGTTTTTTTTTGGGGTATCTAAAACATTTGTTTTTATAATCTAATAAAAATGTGGATCATTTTATCTATTAAGAGACTAAAATATATGATTTGAAATTTGAGAGGACAAAATCAAAATGAGAGTAATTTGAAAGATCAAAGATTATATTAACTCAAGGTTAAAAGTATGATGTTATCTTAATCAACTATTTTCGATATTGTTATTTTTGTTGAACTTCTCATTTCTCACTTATTAAAGTTAGAAAAGTGATTAAATTTTGAGATAGAAATAATAAATTTAACTTTTTTTTTTAGTTTTAGTAAAATACGTTGAAAGCTTTCAGGCCAAAAAAAAAACATTGAAAGCTTTATATATTAAAGAAATAAGTGAATGGTGCAGGTCATTAGTTTTTTTTAGCTCTAAGTAAATAGTACTCTTATTAAAGAGGTAAATAAAAGGTGTGCTTTCCAAATTCAAACTTATTTTTTTCCTTTATGAAAAAAAATTGCTTATTACTTTAACTAACAACAACGGCTTGCTGGTAATACAAGTCATTAGAATTGTCATACAAAAAGATGTGTCTAGTTACCAATCAACTATGACTATGCCATGTTGGGGGCTTCTTTTAAAGGTTCCCCCCCCCTCAAGGCACAGTTATTTTATCTATTAAGAGACCACAATATATGATTTGAAATATGAGAGAACAAAATCAAAATGAGGGCAATTTGAAATATCAATATGATCTTATCTTGATTTACTATTTATATATTGCTATTTTTGTTGAACTTCTCATTTCTCACTTATTAAAGTTAGAAAATTTATTAAATTTTAAAATAGAATTAATAAGATTTAATATTTTTTAGTTTTAGTAAATACATTGAAAGCTTTATATATTAACGAAACAAGTGAATGGTGCAGGTCATTAGATTTTTTTTTTATTAGATCTAAGTAAATAGTATTAAAGAGGTAAGTGAAGGGTGTGTTTCTCAGATTTGAACTTGCGTTTTTTTTTTTTTTTAATAGAGTAAGATTGCTTATTATTTTAACTAGCAACTGCTTGCTGGTAATACAAGTCATTAGGATTGTCATACAAAAAGATGTGTGTAGTCACCAATCAAGTATGACTATGCTTTGTTGGGGGCTTCTTTTAAGTCCCCCCCCTCGGGGCAAGGCACGATTATTTTCTTTCAAGGTTTTGCTGGAGTGTTAGGTACTAAACATAAACATATCTTTTAATAGAGATCTCAACCTTAATAATTCATTACGTTATGAGAGACTAATTTCTTTTATTAGACTCAGCTTCTATGAGAAGCTACTTTGAGGTTAATCAATTTTTAGACCAAACAAACAATATTGAGACACGGGAAGCCAGGCTTTCCCAAAATCTGTTTTTTCACGTGTGAGCTATGGCCACATCGGGCCTAGCCAAGCCTTAATAAGTTGAGCTAATGTTAAAAGCTGGAATTATCTGTAAATCTTCACAATTTTGATAACTGTTGAAATTTTTCTGAAGTTGGCAACAAAGAAAAAGCAGAAAGTCTTTGAAGATTCAAGGTGGGCAAAAAAATTAAAAATACTACCTCCCGTACTTAATATAAAAGCTTATTTGACTTTTATTTTGATCATAAATATAAGATCCTAATTCATTTTGTCTCTTACATTTATCTATTCTTTTTGAGATAGTCTTTGTAATAATAATAGTTCTAACCAACACACTTGATTAGTAAAGATATTTTAGAAAAGACAACATCTATTTATTACAAATAACTAATTTAACTAGGTTTTTAAGCTTTTTAAATTAATTAACCAGCTCTTATATTAAGAATCGGGGTAGTAACACAGAGAAAAGTAAATTGATCACAAGTTTACTTAATATTTGAAGCATAAACTGGAGTTGTTTCTTATCCATCTTGTCTGCTCTTTCTGTGAAAGATACCCTAGAGGATTTAGATATACAAACCTGATTTTCTTAAGTTGCAAGTATATTTTATTTTATTTTTACTTGGCAAGAAAGTACTTTACTTTTCTTAAATGTAACAGTCATTTTTTTAGTGTAATTGCAATTAATATGACAAGTAGAATGGCTTTGTCTTTTAAGCATATAGTTGGAGATTTATTTTTTGGGAGAAGCACTTTGACGTTGCTAGAAAAATAGTATAATTATCAAAAATTTTAATGGCAAATAAACAACATGGATTTATTATTGTTTCCTATGCTGAAATTTAATATTAAATTATTATGGAATTTTTTTAATAATTACATTCATTTCTTAAAGTCACAGTAATTTTTCCTTTATTTTTTTGTTTTGTTTTTGCGCATGATACAAATGTAGTTGGCACATATTTGTTTTTGCATTTAATTATTATATTAGCTACTCCCCTGGCATATTCTGTACAATAATCCAACATAATCTCTTGCAATCCCACAGTGTTCAATATATTATTTGGCAAAGCAATTTCAAATGTTGCAATTTAATTGTTAAGCCAACGAATCCACTTGGCGTTTATTCATAGAACCCTTGTTCAGCTCTTCATTTCTTAAATAGTGATTGGTTTTCAAATGAACACAAGCCCAGAAGAAGTCATATCTAACCAACATTTGATTCAAATTTGAAATGACGAATTTGGATTTGTTCAGATTGGATTTCATAATCTCAAAAGCCCGTTTAAAAATTCAAAAGCCAATCTCAGCCTAAAAATTATATCTGGATTGACTTTAAAATCAAATAAATTTTTTCTCGTAAAGCCAATTAGACCTGAAACAACATTTTGAAGTCTTTGGGTTACTAAAACTAAATGGGGATTCAAACTGGCTTTTTTAGTGAAATATAAGTCAATTTTAATTGATAAAATGCAACTCAGAAAAAATTTCACTTTGAACCAACAGACACTGGTTCAATTAGTAAAAAGTTTGCTCATGATCTATAAGATTATAAGTTCAAATCATACAGCCGATTTGAAAGGTCTTATAGGTAAGCAATCTATAAATACATTTGCAAAATTTCTTTAAATATGAAGATATACCCTAGTACTTTGATGAGTCTCTAAAGCCCATCCCAACTAAACTTTTTTTTTTTTTTATATATATGAAAACATAATTCTCACAAAACGATTCATCTAAATATGAATCATATCTAAGCTTCTTTTTTTTTCGTGGTAACAAGTGAGTATAAAAGGAACAAAATAATGACCACCGAGCACTCAATCAACTGGTAGTAATTATTCCAACTTAATCAAAAGTCACAGGTTCGATCTTTTAGACATGTAGCAGTGTAGGTGATAGGGTTGCTACCCATATGGATCCTATCATGACTTGATTCATAAAGGGTTTGATTGGGATACGGGTGCATATGTTAAAAAAAGAAAAAGAACAAAATAATGAAGAAGTTAGCTTTATTGAAAAGATTAGAATGTATAATCATGAAGAATTCAATTTTTTTTCCCAAGATAAGTTAATTAATTGGTAATAATGATGCAAACATTTGATGGGTAAATAATAGAAATATGATTGGATAGGGCAGAAAAGTAATTAGATTCTGTGACCTACCCTATTTGACTTTCTAGAAACTTGAGAATGGATTCACACACAAAAAAGAGAGGAAGAAATGAAGAAAACATGGCCACAAATTTGGGAATTGCTAGCTGCAGCAATCAAGCAACCAATAAAGTAAATGGCACGCACCTACCCCCTCTCAATAAAACTTTGTTTAATTTTCTTTATATAATGATGAATTATACATTAAACAACAACACATACAAAAAAACAAAAAAAGTCCGAAATAGGATCAGGCAAATAAAAGTGAATGTTTCTTTTTCTCTGTTTTATAAGTCACTATGAAATCTT